GTAGCCCTGCTGTAATGCTGGGAACCTTTGGATCAAGTCATTCACTTTAATTGCATTTCCAGACTTGTGTTTGTGACTGTGTAAAGCTTCAAACAGCCTGAATCCAGACACAAACGTTTTACAATCAGGGTCTAGATAACTCTGTTGCCCTCTTACTACAATGTTTGGACACCCCTGCCTAACTCCAACCTCTGACCTTAATAGCCCTGATCTCTAACCCTAACCTCCACGTGTCAGTCAGTGGTTAGTTCAATGTCTGTGGTCTGTGTTGGAGATTTCCTCTGAGAGAACTACTGTTGTGATTTAGGGCTATTGAATTCAATTGAATATAGAATAAGAACTAATAAATGCTTAATAACTACCAATTAACGGCTACTTTAAAAATAAATTCTACACTCTTTAGAACTGAAATAGCTGTTATTTAGTGAGGGCTAAACTAAACTGTCTGAAAACAGATATGAACACAACAGAGTTCACATCTAAGCCCCCTCCCCCACAAACAACCCCAAAGCAGAGATCTTCTATGTGTTTTGTTATACTTGCATTTCCTGTGTTTGAACCGTTTCTCTGATCTTTTGTTGGTGAATCGACAACTTTGCCTAGTCCCCTGAGACTGCTGCTGTGATTTAGGGCGGAACAAAAATTTATTGAAATGAAGCATGTGTATGTAGCAATGTAGCAACTTCTATAAACAACGTGATTGCAAAAAGTATAAATAAATCTTTATTAATCTCAAAATATGTCATTTGCTTCTGTTTTTGATTTTCAATAAAGCTGGGGTACCCAAAATTCAAACTAATGAGATGAGGACAGAATGTACTGGTTTATATGGGGATAACAATATATATCATTTAGGATACAATGAAAGTTTTGTTCTCCCACTTTTAAAACCAAAAAACCTCATTAAGATATTTCCTTCCTTCTATACTTTCAATTCACTTTGATTTTCAAAAGATGAAGTCAAAATCAAACACAAATGAAACATAATCATTAACATTTGCATTACACAAATATGTTTGGACAGCCAGACATAGCCTTTAACATCTGGTTTCTTATTGAACAATATAAATCGCCTCAAACGTGTTCCTGGATTGCTTAGATGTCTAGGACGGCTGTAAGTGCCTGGATTTGACTGTTTAACTGCCCCCTCCATCCTATAAAAAAGATATCCCATGCCTCTCCCCACCTAGAATAAATATATCCCACATTTGTAAGTTGTTATATATAAATTATGACATATCGGAATAACTCGCAGCGCTATAAAAGGATGCTGTGTCCAAGTTTTTTTTTTAAAGTTTTTATCCACAAATGTGTCCTTGTCTGATTTTGCCCAAGTTTGCAAGTTTAAAAACCAGCAGATCTGTAAATAGCAAGTGATTAAAAAAAAAAAAAATTAAACAGAAATAATTGATAATAAAAGATTTTGAACACAGTACAAGCATGTGATGTGTGCGAGTGTCAGGGGGAGGGGTATTTTACAGAGATACATTCTTTGATTTCCACTTTTGACGAGGGCTAAAGCTGCGTTCGTAACTAAAATCAGGAGCTTTGGTCAAAAAGAGGCTTCTGTGCCCATGGTCTGATGGATCAAGAGATGATTAAAGTTGTAATAATGGAACAAGCTTCAAGAAAATGGTGGATTTTGTTATAATCCAGTTTTCCTCTTGCAGTAATATCAACTTTGTTTTGTAAATGTCCTCGCTGTGGGACGAATAAAGGATCTGTTCATTTTGTAAAGTTAAGACTAACTGAGTCTTTTAGCGAAAACCTTTGATTCTCCAACTGAGAAACGTCTAAATCTTGCCTTTTTCATTCTTTTTTAACCCTGTAGCACCCTCTTTTACAAATATGAAACATACAGTCCTAAGACTAAGGCAAAAGAAGTCTAAGGTTAAATGAATTTACTACTAATGCATGTCCCAAAGAACCAAAACAAGCTAACATGCTACTTTGCCCATTTTGGACATTGAATGCTGCTTCCCACAGATAACACAGATAATTCTTATCAACAAATACTTTAATGTCTGGGTTCTACACTGGGGGTTAAAATGCCTAAACAGATCTGAGATCAGCATTCCTGAGGACTTTGCGAACAGAGTTTCATTCCCACATCATTCAAAAGTGGTCATAACTCACACGCCACTGCAAAATGTGATGATGATGAGTCATAAATGCCAACATTTTGGCAAAATTTATCTTAATTTGTAGCACATTCTGACTGCCTTAAAATAAGATTTGCCAATGGGACAATGAGCAAAACGATATTGTTTTAAAAATAAATGTCTCCCTTGGAAAATAAAGAAAAAGTTCTTGAAATAAGACTAAATGGATTTGTCCCAGTAGAGTATCTAGTTGTGAAGCAGTCAGATCGTACTCAAATTAAGATTTTAGCAATTACCACCTCATATTGTCACACCTTTTGCAGTGTCCATGTTTTTCCATTGGCAAACAAGACAGAGTCAACACATATTGGAGTACTTTCCATCGAATTACAGTTGTAATCCTTAACAACGATGGTAACTGTACACGGAATGTTCAAAAAAACCAACACAAAAAACCCTGTCATGGCAACGCTTTAGTCTTTTTTTTAACAAATGTATATGGTAAGATGGTTGAGCTTTGAGTCTGAGTCATTAGAATCGTGAGAATGGTCTTTTCTGGGTACAACAGATTTTACACATTTTTTGGTTGTTGAACATTGTTGCACAGCAAAAAACTATTTCCAACACCACAGAAAGATACTTCAAAGATACTCTGAAGTTATTGGTCATCATACAGTCATACAGTAATGTTGAAGTACATTTAAATAAAAGTAATGAAACAAAATATATATATGTACACCAGTGGACAGAGCACAACAACAGAGAGGTGAAAAAGTGTACACTGAACCCTAAAATATATATATGTACACAAAAATAATAATAAATATGTTTTATTGGCATAAGTTTAGCTATTGTTGCAATGCTAATTTGATTGATCTAGCTAGTTAGCATTGTCCATCTGCATACAGTCTATGGTCAGAATATATCATCTAATTTTAAGTTGCCATAAATGATAATAAATATATTGAAAATGACATAATTTTAGCTAAATGTTTGGCATTTTCACGATACAATTTGTTAAGGTGAAATTGTGCTGATGGGGTCAAAACCATAGACTGTATATTAGGAGTAGAATTGATTTGAACCTAAGCTAGCTGGAGCTAATTTCCTTATACAGGTATTTGTTCTGACGGCGTTAACTTAGCACCGTGATAGAGGCAGACGTGTTGCTACCATGGTTGCTAAGGCAAGAGCGTTAAACTAACAATTTTTCGAGCCCAAAATGGGTTGAGGAGCTTAGTTTTCAATGCCAGTCAATCGGAGCCAGAGCGAGGAGCAAAACTTTGTCCAAGAGCACTTCCCCATTGGGCTTCATTGAGCTCGCAGGTTAGGATTGTCCATTTGTATACAGTCTATGTCACAACACTTAAAACAATTAAATGCCAAATTTTTAAATACAAATAGTGATGGCTATTTTTTTGTTACGGTTTTTTGAGTGATTAGTTTGACCACATTTATGCAACATTTTGAACTACATATAATCAATTCATAATAAAAACGTTGAAATATACACAAGACTGCAAATATTTATATTAATTTAAGTCATACAAATTACTAGGACGTAGGAAATCTTGTCATAGAGATAGAGAGATTAACATTTCTTCTATAAAAAATATATACATTTACATTGTATGTTGTATACCTTGTTCTTGTCTATAAAACACTAATATATTAAGACAAGCAGAAATTCAAACAAGACATGAGAATGCCTACTTAAAGAACTACAATACCCATAATGCCTTGCCAAATCTCATTATTTAGGAGACGTAGCTGCATCTTGCCATTTGTTTAAACAGATTGATAAAGCACATACTAAATGGTCAAGTAATGATTCAAAACATTTTGTATTTATAGACGAAGCCGACAAAACGCAGAGGTAGGATTTCTGAGATATAGTTTTAGAACATTGATTTTAAATGTTTAAAAAGTGTTTATTAAAAACTAATAAATAAAACTATTACCTGTAATACAGACTGTAACCTGAGAGTTTGGCAGTGGCCTGAGCTTTAGTTAATACAATCATAAGTAAAAAAGTTAAAAAAGAAAATAACTTTCCAACAATTTTAGGACTTTTTAAAATATATTTTCTACGTAATATATTATTATTGTGTAGGATGCGAATATTTGAAAATTTAGAAGATTCTCAAGTGCAACCAATAATGATAGTGGTACCAAAAGGTTTGATACTGGTTCTGCTTAGAATATGTCCGATTTCACCCGTTCAAATCTGGGGTACCTTACTTTAAAACCACAGAACATTTTTACTTGTGTCATTCATTTTCTTCTTCCACTAGTTTTCACAAATAGATTTTGGCCTTTGTCACATCTTTAGATCATTTTTTTTAGACAGAAAATAGCCAAAACGAGAAAACCACCCTCACAGTGGCTCAAAGGGCACTCAGATTAATAATGCTATAATCTGGGACAGTTTTAATGAAAATGTGAGACAGGCTTCTTCTTTGACAATGTTCAAATCAAGCTAAAAAACAGAGTATTTATGATTTGAATGCCTTCTTGTCTCACTAGTGTAGAACTGTGCTGTACAAATAAACTTGCCTTGCCTCTGCTGAAGATGACAAATAAGTTTCCTAATAAGTTTAAGATTTTATGTTTTAGCCTCTTTTTGTTGGGACTACTATATATGATTTCGGAAATAAAGACGTTCGGTGGATCAGCTTTAAGACACGGCAAGAGAACAGTAAGTCGCTGTCAATCGCTGTTTTAGAACTGAGTTTTCAGTTTAGTTTTAGTTTGAGTCCTGTGTTGTTGCTTGTTCTCCCGGTCACATATTTTCACCTGTCTGTTGTGGCCTTGAGCACAGAGCGTAGGTGGAGCAGGTGTAAGAGAAACTGCTGCTGACAAATAACGAGGGTGAGGACCGGGTGAAAGGGCTCGATGTTAAGTCTGGGGAGAAAAGAGAAGAGAATAGATTATTAGCACAAGTGTTATTCATTTAAATTCAATTCTGTAGAGATATAAATGATAAGAGTAGTCAAAGACAGGAAATGCAATGAAAACAAACACATGGTACATATTGGTGGGAAGTATATAGACCAATATTGTATTCATATTTGTATTCATACACTGGACAGTCTATACTATAAGTAAGTAAGTAAGTAAGTAAGTAAGTAAGTAAGTAATCTATATTTATATACCGCCTTTCACAGACCAGAGTCACAAAGCGGTTTACAATTGTGGGCATTTGTCTCTCACTCCACACAGACCTTTGCTATTGTTTCTATGACTGATTTTAGAATGAATGTTGTTGTTTGTGTTTTCACATTTTCTATTCTTTGTGTGAAGAAAAAATATGCTATTTGTGGTTCTTCGGAAAGATAAGCCCCAGTCCTGGATCTACAGCCTCAGACCTGGATCTACAGTCTCAGACCTGGGTCTACAGTCTCAGACCTGGGTCTACAGTCTCAGACCTGGGTCTACAGTCTCAGACCTGGGTCTACAGTCTCAGACCTGGGTCTACAGTCTCAGACCTGGGTCTACAGTCTCAGACCTGGGTCTACAGTCTCAGACCTGGGTCTACAGTCTCAGACCTGGGTCTACAGTCTCAGACCTGGGTCTACAGCCTCAGTCCTGGATCTACAGCCTCAGTCCTGGGTCTACAGCCTCAGTCCTGGATCTACGGCCTCAGTCCTGGCTCTACAGCCTCAGTACTGGATCTATAGTTTCAGACCTGGATCTACAGCCTCAGACCTGGGTCTACAGCCTCAGTCCTGGATCTCTAGCCTCAGTCCTGGGTCTACAGCCTCAGTCCTGGATCTACAGCCTCAGTCCTGGGTCTACAGCCTCAGTCCTGGATCTACAGCCTCAGTACTGGATCTATAGTTTCAGACCTGGGTCTACAGCCTCAGTCCTGGATCTCTAGCCTCAGTCCTGGATCTACAGTCTCAGTCCTGGATCTACAGTCTCAGTCCTGGATCTACAGTCTCAGTCCTGGATCTACAGTCTCAGTCCTGGATCTACAGTCTCAGTCCTGGATCTGCAACCACATTTGTCCCCACTTGTAGATGGAGGAGTGATGATCTGGGACATTTATAAACATTTCTGGACAGTTTGATTATCTGATCTGTTGTTGGTGAATTGACAGCTTAGTAAAGCCCTCCACTCACTGCTGTGTTGATTTTGGGCTATACAAAAATACATTGAATTATACAATGTAAGTGGGGTTTGCGTTTATGCCTGGTGCTAGTTTGGATGGAATAAGTTTTGGTTATTAGCAACAGTAACGATTGGAAAGGATTACAATTACTCCAATAACAACATGTACGTGGCTTTAGTTTTCCTTGGTTTTGTGAGTTGTCCTTGTTTGCATGTTGATTTCAATAATATAAGTTAGAAACCAATCATTTACTCACACTTTGCATAGTTTCAGTGATAGATTTCCATGCAGCAGAAAGGTCCGCTGCATGGAAGGTTTGGCCTCAGAGAAACTATTGAGAAGAGGCCTGGCTGAATTGGTCATGGTGCAGAACTTTGATGATGATCTAATTTCAAGAACTGTTTCTTTATTTTTTCATTCCAAGGGAGACTATTTATTTATCTTTTTGCAACTTTAAATATTTGTTGATGACACTAAACAAATGAGATAAATGGGGAAGTCTAAGAACGCCTCACAGACTATTTGAATTGTTCAAAATACAGGGCTCAATATCACAGTTCACCTTTCTTCGCCTTGTTTATTGTTGTGTGTGCCGAGAACGAAATTGCCTAATGAGAATGAATAAAGTGAACCATAACCTTAATTCAGACAGGTTTAATAGAGCGAAACTTAAAAAAGCGCTAAAATATGAGGTGATATTTGCTGGAATCAAGTGTTTCTTAAAGTAGCACTATGTAATATTTGCATGTCAAGTCATCATTAAATGGCCCCAATATTTCAAAAGGCGTAATTAAATCATGATCTTTTTGAATACATCTTTAACTGATAACAGCAGTTCAGCCAAGATATTTGAAAATCAAAATTAGTTTTACGACCCGTAAAAGTTGTTATTGTTTTCATTACGATGTCCCACCCACCGCCGTTTCGCCAATCAGGAAGTCTGAAATGTTCTCTGCCGCAGAACTAAAAAAGGTCTCGTTATGATTCTCAAATCATTAATGACAAAACAAAGACTAAAACGAGGATTTTGGGACGCCTTTGAAAACTTGAGACAATTGAAGGCGGATACAAACTTTCGTGATGCAGAACTTGGTGCTTTGAGTCAGTGCCTGGAATTCCCTAATCCTTTATATGTCAGGGTGGCCTAATGGTTAAGTCATAGCGCTGGTGCCCCAGTGGACGGGGTTCAAATCCGTGCGAAATATGCTTTGGATTAAACAATGTATGATTTATTCTATGACGGATTGTTCTAAATCGGTAAAAGGTAAAAACAAGCCGTTATTTGCAGATTAAAGCTTAATTATAATAAGAATCATTTGAGACCACATGTACCCAATTAAAATAATGTTAGTGTCTTTTTGATGTGGGATTTATACATGTATGTCTAAAAAAATAGGGAATAAAAAAAGTCGAATGGTGATGTCCTCTGGAGGAAACCCTGATGTTGATACGCTGAAGAAATATGTTCCAACATACATTCTTCCCACTCCTATTTTGGACATCAATTGCTTATTTTTTTTGCATAATCTATGTATAATTAAATTGCTTTTATTTTGTTTTTCTCATCTCAAATGTTCAAATAAAATAAAATAAAAAAAACATGAATTCAACATTAGCACGGCTATCATGGCAATGTGAACGGAGACAGACAAATATCTGATAAAATAATTCCCTGTGTTTGCTGCTGGATTTGGTGTGTATCTGGCAACCTGAGACAGGGAGAGTGGGAGAGGACTACAAAATATTGACTGTGACTGCAGTACCACTTTTGGCCAGATTTTTACATACTGCTCCTTTAAAGATGCTATACCCAATATTTTTTTTTATGAGTTCTTAAAAATACTACATACAAGTTGCATTATAATCCGTAATTGAATTGAAAACTTGAGCTCATTGATTCAAATTGTGTATGATTTCAGGCTGTAAAAAGTGCTAAGTAGAGACTTAGCGTGACGCCCGCTCTACTCCGCTCACAGAACGATGCCGCATCCTCTAGCCGCTACAGCGCTGCTAAACACATTAGCATGTTAGCAGAATTGGCTATAACTCCTCTGGCTGTAACTGCATACAACAACAAAACAGCCCAAACGACACAACAGTGAGGAAGAGAAGAGGGAACTAAAGCGAAAAAATGATCAAAGAAGAAATCAAGCCCGGGGTGAACATAGCTAGCTTACATCAGTCTATGGGAGAGACCTGCGGGACCGCCTCGGACTATCTATGCTCGGACTACATTCGGATGCGGAACTAGCGATAATCTACCAGTTATATATTTTGTTAGCAGTGCGTTGCTTTTCAGCAGTGATTGTTGTACAGCTTAAGTTGCGCTCATGCTGATGTTTGCATATGTATCAGATCGCAAATAAAACTAGATGGCTCCGTGGGATGAGAGCGTAGGGGAAATGAGAAGCCTGTGAGCGAGTTGAACATTCAAACCTTGCAGAAACGGGTATAGCTCCTTTAAAGGAGCAATATGTAAAAATCTGGCCAAAAGTGGTACTGCAGTCACAGTCAATATTTTGTAGTCCTCTCCCACTCTCCCTGTCTCAGGTTGCCAGATACACACCAAATCCAGCAGCAAACAATGGGAATTATTTTATCAGTTGTTTGTCTCTCACATTGCCATGAGGCGTGATAATGTTGAATGAATGTTTTGATTAATGTTTTGTTATTATTATTTGGATATACGAGATTTAAAAAACAAAAACAAAATAAAAGCTATGTAATTATACATAGATTATGCAAAATAGAAAAGCAATTTATGTCCAAAATATGAGTAGGAAGAATGGATGTTGGAACATATTTCTTCAGCGTATCAACATCAGGGTTTCCTCCAGAGGACATCACCATTATATTTTATTTATTCCCTATTTTTTATGTATATATATTATATGTATAAGTCCCACATCAAAAAGAGACAAACATTATTTTAATTGGGGTAAATGTGGTCTCAAATTATTCTTTTTACAATTAAGCTATAATCTGCAAAAAACATCATGATCTTAGTTTTTGACAGTTTTTTTAGTGATCTGTCAAAAAATGTGATATTAAACAATCAAATTCAAACTGACTCTCCTCGGACTCGAACCCGGGTCGTCGGAGCGCCAGCGCAACAATCTAATCTAAAATTTTGATATTAAAATATCTTGGCTGAACTACTGTGTACAGTTAATAAATATATTTGAAAAGAGCATGATTTAATAACGCCTTTTGAAATATTGGGGCCATTTAATGATGACTTGACAGGCAAATATTATATACTGCTACTTTAATCTAAGTAGATTCTGTGTTAAAACAAGATCCTCCAACAGGACAAAGCCATTTAGTCTAATTTCAAGAACTGTTTCTTTATTTTTTCATTCCAAGGGAGACTATTTATTTATCTTTTTGCAACTTTAAATATTTGTTAATATTATGGCAAGTATTGCACCTTTGCACTTTGCCGCTGCATCTTGTGAACAGAACAGGACGCCTGCTCCTCTGAAACTGATCCTTCTCGTTCCGACTCTCGCTCCCTTTTGCCAGTGACGCCCCCTCTGGCCTGGAGGTGCAATCCTGCGCAAACACAAAGTAGTGGTTCAAAAGTGATGTTAATTTAGGCAAAATCAAACCTTTATTCGTCCCACAGTGAGAACATTTTACATGATTGCAGTATTTGCTATTTACAGGGTGATATGACATGTACAGGATCAGCAGTTCTTATTGTACAGTCTGACAGCAGCAGGAAGGAAGGACCTGCAGAACCTCCTTCACACAGCGAGGGTGAATCAGTCTGTCACTGAAGCTACTCTCCAGAGCAGACAGAGTGATAGACTACTGTAACGACTTGCTCACTATTTTGTTTTCTTAAGCACTTTTGAGTTGCCTTGTGTATGAACTGAACTATACAAATAAACTTGTCATGCATTATGCACCATCACTGACCTGGATGTTGAGGCACAGCAAACTCATGGTAGATCCTGCTGCTGGTGTCTGGCACTGTGTGGTATACTGCGTGAGACAAACAAGGAAACGTGAGAAAAGAAATGCATTGAAATACAGCATAAAAGCACTGGTTATGAATGTACATAGTAATGGTAATGCATTCTGCTATCACTGAAAAAATCAAATATGAGGTAATTGTCACTTTAATCTAGTGGTTTTTATCTTAATCTGAGTACATTGTGACCGTCTTAAAACAAGATTAGCCAATGGGACAAATATTTTCTCATTCTAAGGGAGACATTTCTTTATATTTTTAAAACAAGATAATGTTTTATTTGTCCCATTGGCAAATCTTGTTTTAATTATGGCAGTCATGTGCCTTAAAATAAGATTTGCCAATGGGACAAACCAACAATTTTCTTGTTTTAATACGATACAAGAAATGTCTCCCTTGGAAATGAGAAATTAAAGCAACAGTTAATTTAAAGTCAGAATGTACGTAGATAAAAAATACTTAATTTAGGCAAATATTACCTCATATTTTGTGATTTTTGCACTGTAGGGATGAGGAAGGCAGTCCACTAAATGGGTCCAACTCAAAAACTGAAGAGATATTTGTCAGTCCTCACCATGCTGCTGCTGCTGCATTTGTGGCTGTTGTTGCTCCTCATTGTCAAAATTCATCAGGATGCTACCGCTGCCTTTAGCTGTAGCCACCGGACTGCCTGATGCACTGCTCCCTGGAACTACAAAATAATCAGATAATTGTGAAATTATTTTCCTCTGCTGCCCTGAGAAATTAAGCAAAAGTGTAGGTTCAGCCTGGAATACAGAAGCGTACATTTGTGCAGCAACCCTCCTCCTTCCCATCACCGCTTTGTCGGCCGGATCAGCTCTTTCACCCTTCTGCTCGCTCCCACCACCAGGGTCTAGTCCACCTGGGATTTGATTTTATAATCTCAATATCCATTTCCCCTTCTGCATTCGTCATACAGTTCTCGGCCGGGGTCTACACTTTAAACAATCAATCATGAGGTAATAATTAATAATTGCTTGAATTGAGTGATTTTATCTTAACTTTAGAACATTCTGACTGTGTAAAAACCAAATTTGCCAATGGGAGCCATTGAGTCTTATTTCAAGAACTGTTGCCTTTTTTCTCATTCCAAGAGAAATTTTTTTTATCTTTATAAAACAAGACAATTTTGCTTGTCCCTTTGGCAAATCGTGTTTTAAGACAGTCAAAATGAGTTCAAATGCATAAAAATCCTAACCCTAACCCTCAAAATTGGCAAAAAATGAGATTCATGTCTCACAAGCTCCACCGCTTAACCTCATATCCAGTACAGCAGCAATAAATGTAATCTTGTAAACATCGTCTTCGGAGCTGTAAGTGCTGATTCATGTAGTTTCAGACTCATTTCTATCCATAACATCCAACCAGTAAAACCTCAGACACTCAAACAGAAGCATTCACAAAAGCTTTTCATAGTTCATAACATGAAATGTAACAGTCTTCCTGAAAACATGAGACAGGCTTCTTCACCTGGATTTGTTTGTTGAAACAGTTCTGTTTAGCTGTGCAGACAACTGGAGGATTGGATATTCACTCTTTATCATTCACTGTGATTATTTATGACTTTAATGCCTTGAGTTTCTATCTTGTTTTGTTGAGCACTTTGAGTGGCCTTGTGTATGAACTGTGCAATAAAAATAAACTTGTCTTGCCTAGAAATAAAGTAGCACATCTTCTAGAAGGAACCTTGATGAGCTACAGTAGCGCACTGTAAAGTTATGGATACAAATGTATATCAGATTACGTGTGAAATGCTTTCTGTTAGAAGTAGAGCTCAGTGGCTGCAGTTAGCATCAAATTGATTTGGATACTGCACATTCCACTCATCTCAACAATCTTTAACGAAACTACAAATATCACAGAGTTGTTTGATGACTAAGGCTTTGTGCACATGTTTCCTTGTGGAGGTGATGTGATGTATACATAAAGCGTATCCATGGAGACCTAACTCTGACCACTTTGTAAAAGACACAAGTGACACATTCGACTATAAAACTGTCATAAAACGGTGCCACATTGTTAAACATCACAATCACAATCAATGTTTATCATGTCACTGCTCTGTCATTTCATAATTTATTCTGTGTTTTTCCCATTCAAATCTTTTGTAAATGAGGTCCGAAACTACTACTGCAATTTCGACTGCTACTACTTTCTTGGACCCTCAGATGTAACAGTGTGTGTTGTTGTTGCTACCGTTGTTGTTAGCTCCAGGCTGCTGCTCTCCAGGAGAATACACCATCATCGCCCCGTTCCCGTTCCCATTGGTCGACGGCACGGACGCCAACAGACCTGCCAAGACAGACACCGATTTTATTAAACAGATGCACCATTTTCTTCACCCACTCCCACTGATGTCTCCTGTCGTTGGGCAAGACACTTAACCCCACTTTCCCTTAAGCCCCCACTTAAAGCTCAAGGCACAACACAACAGCGTCCTCCTGTGGACTCAGCGCCTGCAGCAGGATCAGTGAGGGGCTGTGAAGTGGGTGCAGCTCTGACTGCCACTCTCCCCCATAACAATTATGTTTACTGTGAGTCATGATTTCAAGAGTTTCTGTTGTCCTGCTTCCATGATAATGATTTTGCAGATTCATCTTAACAATCTTTAACAAGCGGCAAACACCAGAGAGAGCAATAGAGAGCTGGTGACGAAGCTCGAGATCTCGTCGGTTTTTAAAGCCGCAATAAAACGCTGTATAACTGATAAATGTTACGAGAAACAATAATACCAGGTGTGATTATTGCGCATTGTTTAGAGTAGCAGGCATGTCCAAACTCATTCCTGCATGGCCTTCTACCTCGCTAACCCAAAGTAATCATAAACATAGCCAACATACCCATCATCCAGCCAACTTTAGCGCTGCCAACGTAACTTGTTGTACCTTGTTGAAAAGAACAGGATCTCTAGAATCGAGATTGTTTGACTGTACTGATATTTGATTTTTAATGTATGGCATTAATGTATCTGGAGAGTAAGCATTTCATTGAATCCACTTCAAATCCATCGCAAGTGGACAATTATAGCTGTGCCACACCTTATTTTAAAGCTCAGAAACACTAAGCCCCCCCGGACAATTTTGTAGAACTAAAGAGATCCTCTTGTCAGACATGGCCTTCACAAAATGGACATGGGACAAAGACATAACATTCAAGTGATCCAGCCTTTTCAGGTCCCAGTGACTCCAGTCGTGTCTCTGTTGTTTGGACCAACTAATATGGGTTGGCTATTTTGGTGTGACTCAAATTGTCCTCTATAATGCTTTCACTGACTTAATTCTGTCTGGAAAAAAAACTGCAGAAACTAACACGACTTACAGACGACTCCAAAAAGAGATCAGAGAGAGACCACAAAGAGAGACACCAGAGAGAGGGCAGAGAGAGATAGAGAGCTCAGAGAGAGAGACCAGAGGCAGACCAGAGAGAGACCACAGAGAGGGACCAGAGAAGTAAACTGATCTCAAACCCAGCCCTCTCATGCAGCAGCAGCGGTGATGTGGGTTTCTTACCCAGGCCTCGGTATCGGCTGAGCTGCTGGTAAATTTGCTTCATCCTCTCAATGTTGAGCCGGCTGGCCTCTGCGTGGTGCACCATGGGTTTGGGGTAGTGCACACCGATCACGCACTTGGCGGCGGTCTGCACCGACTCTGGGGCGTTCCAGGGGTCGTAGATGTATTTGGCCGGGAAACCTCGGAGGACAGGTAAGTAACGTCTGAAAGTACAAGAGAGATCAGACGTGCCGGCTTGTAATGAGAGAGAGAAAGAAGGCGAGTTTCGGATTCAAAAAGCAACGAGAGAGACTGGAGAGAGATACCAGAGAGAGACCAGAGTGAAAGACTGGAGAAAAACAATGGAGACAGAGACCAGAGTGAGAGAGATCAGCGTGAGAGAGATCAGAGGGAGAGAGACCTGAGAGAAAAGCCTGAGACCAGAGACCAAAATCAGCAAATACATAGAGACAATTCTGCTGACAATTCTGTCACATCGGTTACATTTGTAACTTAAAATGAAAATGAAAACAAATAAAAATGTATGTATATATCCAAAAATGTACAAATTTTTAGACATCAGAACGTCAACAATGTCAAAAAGTAGCAAAACCTAAGCAGAAAACAACATTGTACATTAAAAAGGCTTAAGTAATCTGTATACTTTATGTGACAGAAGTAAAAGTAGACGTCGATACATACATTTCCTGCAATATTACATTTTTATGGCCCAATATGAGAAATGTAGCATGCAGTTATGCTTACAGTGTATACGGCAAAAATGAAAAGCTTCAAACATTCACACAGCACAGTGCACGGACTCGAGAAACAAGGGCTGTGGTCCCAAACTGAAGCAAAAGCAGTGACTCAGAGTTCAATGCAGCCACAAGGATCTACTTCTGAGTATAAATATCTGTGGGAGTCGGCCAAGGAGTCGGAGCCAAAGACATCGCTGCTGGGTTCTTCAAAGTCATAACAACAATATCGTTAGGGCTGGGAACATGATAACTGTGAAAAGGTGCTGACTCTGAGGTCTAAGATCCTGAGAAGTTTTATTGTTTTTGCGTTTCTGTCTGAGGCTATAAACAGGGGTGTAAAAGTAATTTTGTCATTTTGTTAGAATCATGTTGGATTAAAAAAATCGTTTTGAAATAAGTGTGGATACTTTTCCGGTAGATTTGTCTGAATATAATGAGTTTACGGTTTGGATTTAACAAAAGCTCGAGAGACAAAACGGAGGCCGGAGAGGCCAGAGAGAGGCCAAAGAAAGAGGAGAGAGAGAGAGTGAGAGTGAGAGTGAGAGTGAGAGTGAGAGTGAGAGTGAGAGTGAGAGAGTGAGAGAGAGACCAGAGAGAGACTAGAGAGAAAGAGACCAGAGTGAGAGACCACAGAGAGAGAGAATGTGACCAGCCATTCCCTTTCGTGCCAAATTTGCAGAATTACTAAACGATCTCTTGAATCCAGGACACTTTACAGCAGCCTGGCTTCCCGACATCAAACATTCATATATTTAATTATGTCTGTTATTAATTTTAAGTTTCAAGTTTCAAACCTCCATCTTTGTACCGTCTCCAATCAAACATCCAGAAAGCCATAAGGTGCCTAAAGCAGTTATTCATTACATCGTTATCCAACAATTTGTCAAAAAAAAACAAACAGGTATTATCAGAACAAATAGAAGCTTTATCTGTTTTCCTATAAGACAGTACCCAGCCCTAACAATGTGGTATTCTCCCAGGCTTTGGACAAAAAACATCCACCTACCTAGTTGGTGTGAGCTTACCGAGAGTCCGAGAGCGAAGGGAGACAGACAGAGGAGGGGAGCTGTGGAGCAGCGGAAAAAACAAACCAATACAACAAAAAGGGGAGAGGAGGGGTGAGAGAGGAGAGGGTAGGGGGGAAGGAAGAGGTACCGCTCCGGAAAGGGGAATGGACCGCCAACTGTGACCCGCAAGAGCGCAGTCTGCCGGCCGCTGGAGCTTAGGAGGCCTCTACTGTAATACGCAGTTAGAAAGCAGAGAGTCACCCACCCCTTCCCCCTGTGAGGAGCCATGCACTTGGGAACAGTTCTGCAGGCGAAAAACTAGTTACAGCAACAGGTTTGATGTTAGCATGACGTTAACAGAGAGAGAGAAGTAAGTGAAGGTGTACTAGAGAGCAGAGGCATCAGTAGTGAGAGAATTCAATTTGTGGAGGGAAAGGCATCATTTGTTTTATTTTGAAGAATACAAAGTTTTGTGTCCCAGATATTTATTTTAATGTTAGTGCCATATGAACCAACTCGGACTCAGAGCAGGGACTGGCCTCCTGCTAAGACTATGAGGAGCACAGGGACTGGCCTCCTGATGGTGCAAAGAGTCAGGACTCAACATGTGGATGCAGCATGTCAGCTTCATGTAGTTAAAATCTGGAACAATCTTCCTGAAAATGTGAAACAGGTTTCTTCTCTGTTGTTTAAATCTAAATGGTTCTGTTTAGCTGTGCATAGAACTGAAGGATTGAATAATCACTCTTTTTAATGCACTGTGATTATTCATGATTTTAATGTTTATTTTCTTTGTATATTTAAATGCGTTTTACAAATAAACTTGCCTATTTCATTTATGGAAGAAAATTGGCTTAATTCACTTCTGTGCCAACTCAATCAACGTTAGAACTCAGTCATAAGGAGAGGAAAGACGGCACTTTGGAGAGACATGGTGATTTTTATCTTAATTTGAGAACATTCTGTCTTAATTCAAGTAAGTAAGTAAGTAAGTTTTTATTTATATACCGCCTTTTCACTGCAGATCTGAGTCTCAAAGCGGTTTACAATTGTTAATTTTTGGGCATTTGTCTCTCACTCCACACAGAGATGGGAGGGGCCAGTACAGGAGGCGCATGCTAGAACTATTGGACATATTTTTAGTGGTAGGGGAAACCGGAGTACCCGGAGGAAACCTACGCAGACACGGGGAGAACATGCAAACTCCACTCAGAAAGGCCCTGGTCCGACCGGGATTCGAACCCAGGACCTTCTTGCTGAGAGGCGAGAGTGCTATCCACTCAGCCACCTGGTGGCTGAGTGGCTGGTGGCTGATGGGACAAGATGTGTCGATGGGACAAATCCATTTAGTCTTATTTCAAAAACTGTTTCTTTATTTTCTGATTCCAAGGGAGACATATCTTGTATCTTTTTTTTAAAGATCATTTATCTCATTGTCCCATTGGCAAATCTTGTTTTAACGCAGTCAGAATGGGCTCAAATATAGATAAAATTGCTCAAATTTGGCATAATATATTGTATGTCATCATTTTTTGCAGTGTAGCAGACCAATAAATTGGTCAGAACCATTTTTCACCTAAGAGGGTGAAAACTTGAAATCGCCGGCAGAAGTGCTCCTCTGTACCCAAGGCTCCGTACCCCAAAACCCCTCCCCAGGATCAGACATAGGAGGAGTGAGAAACAGCTCATGCTTGCTCCCCCTGGTCCCCTAAGACTGTGGTGGTTTTATGCTGACTGTTCCCTCCCACAGCACCAGCATGGCGCTCTGGGTTGGCCAACTAGGAGGCCCCCTCATTTCACCAAAAAGGACCAAAACCCTTATGCCAGGAAGATCCGCAACCTGCCAGTGCTAAGAGGCCCGGGAGAGGCAACGGGTGGCAATGGGAGACTGATGGAGTGAGGTGTTCACAGCCGAGAGTGTAGAGAAAGTAGAGAATCTGAAGCACAGAACGAGGCCAGAGAGAGGTCTAACGTTACCATCACACTCGCCTCTGGAACTCTTCATAAGAACTATCTCAATGAACATCCACAGGAAGTTTGATGTATTGTGCGAACAGCTTCTGCGTCTGTTAAAACTGTACTTTTTCTGACCTAAAGCAAGTGTGTGTGAAGCTAGATGTACCCTTTTGTGTGGAGCATAGGCCCGATTTCAGCAGCCCTACTCGACCCGGCTCTACTCTATTCTTCTCAGATTGCGAGTGTTTCCACCGGCCCCGTTTAGTGCCAGAGCGTTGGCGGTCTGAAAGCACCATTAGCGACAGTAGCTCAGTTGGTAGAGCATTGGCCTTTGAGCCAGAGGGTCGTGGGTTAGAGCCCGACCTTCACCATCGACTCCCACTGTCTGCTGTCATTGTGTCCTTGGCAAGACACTTCACCCCCATTGCCTAGAATGAGTCTGGTGTGTGTGTGAATGGTTGGTGGTGGTCGGAGGGGCCGATGGCGCATACTGGTTGCCTCGCTTCTGTCAGTGTGCCCCAGGGCAGCTGTGGCTACAGTAGTAGTTTATCACCACCGTGTATGGAGTGAAAGAATGTAAAGCGTCTGTGAGTGTCCAGAAAAGCGCTATATAAAACCGATGCATTATTATTATTATTAATTCTCTGATCTGTGTTGGCAAAATGACAGCTTTGTAAAGTCCTTCAAGACTGTTGTGTTAGGTCTATACAAAAATGAATTGAGACACTAAGAGCAACACAACCAGGTAGAGCAGAGCCGAGTAGAGTCATGTCAGGGTTGTGAAGACAGGGCTATAGATGGTGTTGCCAGCCGCTGCTCCAGGGCCACCCGCACAGACAGGGTTGCATTCCCCTAAGCAGAGCACCACTGAACATTTCACAAAGGGCTGGACGAGGGGCTTTGTCCAGCGCTCGGACAGTGGACCGGCAACGGCAGACAGCTGGTCCAACGCCTCTCTTCACTACCCTCCGGTGAATGTTTCATAGTCCTCTACCTTAAAGAATGCAGGCCAGGCGTTTTCGTATTTCCCTACCAAGCGGTCAGAATCCCTTTTGACAAAATGAGACTCCACCGAGTTTCCAAACCTGCCCAGAGGGTGCTGCTGGGGCGCGAGATCGAGAGTGTCGCAAAGATCCACACACCCTGGGTCCAGAGGAGGGTGGGGAGGACAGCCAACCAGCTTAAAAGCAAATCCACAACCATCAAGGAGGAGAGGGTGAACAGATTCACTTTTTTCCCAATCCCCCAAAAACAAAATACAAAATAAACCAACACTTTAAAAAGAGAACTACGTCTGCCTTCAAAGGAATCACTCCACAACAAATATATAAGAACAGAGGAACAACAAAGCGACACGCAGCGCACGGACTTTCACACACACGCTCAGACTGCCCCCACAAAGACTGGAGAGAAGACCGACATGTTTAAACTATGGATAAAGAACAGGGCGATTGTAAACATATGAGTTCGCCTTACTTACCAAAGGAGCACGGAGGAACCCCCTCAGACCCCTCTCTTCAGGACTCACCCTATCCTACTGAATACTAGCAGAGTCTGGAGGCAAATATCGTCTTTTATCCATAATTTTTCATGAGTTCAAAACCACATTCTTCAGATCTTATATGGATCTGCGTGACATGAGTGTAGATATTGTTTTTTTCTCTTTTGCTATGTGAGAATGTGAATGTGAGAGAGAGAGAGAGAGAGAGAGAGACTGGGGAGATAGAGATCAAAGAGAGAGAGCTGAGAGAAACCAGAGAGAGGGAAGAGAGAGAGACCAGAGAGAGAGGCTGAAGAGATTGAAGTTGTGTTTATGGCCTCAAAAACTACTTTAGCGAGGTTAGCAAGGCAGAGGGCCACATAAAATTACACAGGGCTGATTCGTTCCAGGGACATGCCTGAACTAAGTACTGTAACATAATGACTTAATAGTTATTAGAGATTATGTATCATATCATGCGTCTATGAATCATTATTAGTCATTATTTCAGTCTCATATTTTGTTCCAGACATGTTTTGCATAAGTTTGTATACCTGCCATTTCACAGCGCTCTTAATATGTGACTATCACCATACTTTGAATTGAGTTCCACTAAGACTTCTATGAGGTCCAAGTTTTATCTGTGGGATTTCCCTTTAGATAAAGAGAGAGCAACAATGTTCAAAAATATGATCAATCAAACTTATTTGTTTTTTTTATAATGTAGCAGACAAAAGCACTATTTCAGATACAGGTTACTGGCCATTTGCAGTAAAACCACACTAAAATACATGTTCTAAAGTACATACATGACTTTATCTTAAAGTTAAATGTTAGAGCACCTAAACCTTAAAGGGAATCTTACTTTTCTACATGTAATATACAGTACAATATGTATTGTATATTAGGGGTGCAACGGTTTGAAAAAATCACGGTTCGGTTCGTACCTTGGTTCAGAGGCCACGGTTCGGTTCATTTTTCGGTTCATTTTTCTAAAAAAAAGTTTTGTCTTTTTAATAAACACAGCTCATGTGGACTCTGCGCCTGCTCTGACTGCCCCCCCTGACCTAGAAATGAATTAAGGGGAAGGAAATGGATGGATGGATGGAAGGCATATTCCATCCATCCAATTATGTCTATTTAACATAATTAATGAAAAACAACACAAAGTGCAACATAAGAAGGCACTTTATGAGGATATTTACCCTCATATATTACACCACCTTTCTGATTCTCCCAAGGAGGGGGTCCATTCTGGGCCCAGCCTCATTCACTGCATTTATTTAATTTTTGGCATTATCAGTTGTGACTGGGATATTAGTACTGGGCCTTTGTCTTCCATTCCTCCGCTGCTTGTGTCAGTACCTGCGCTGTGTGACAGTGTGACTGTCGTAAAGGGGGCGTGTCTTCAGCGCCAGACTTTTCATCTCCCAGTCTGCGGTGATGAAGTGAGCGGTTCCGCTCATGGATCTATTATAGGTTCCGCGGGACGTCCAAGCGTCAGTCGTGAGCGCAGCTGAGGATGCGCGGGAGAGTTGACTTTAGCCTGGTCTGACTGTGCGTAAAGGAACTGCTTAAATGCCGCGACAATAGGTGGTCGTTGAGACGCTTTTTTCACTCATGTCTTTCTTGTGCCACAGTGCTTACACATCGTGACAGTTTTGTCGAATATTAATTATCAGTGTAGTTACAGTGAAGCCAAAATGCTCTCATACTGGGGATTTAAATGACGCGGGGCTTTCAAGCTCCTCCGTTCCTCCGCTCGCAATGACCGCGCTGTGTGTGGACTAAACAACGTGCGCACAACTTTTTTTTCATAAATCAAACCGCGGATCACGTCTGTACCGAACCGAAGACGTTGAACCGAACGGATCACGGATCAGTGATGAACCGTTGCACCTCTATTGTATATTCATATACTTACTAACTTACTCATATAGAAGTAAGTAAGGTATATTTATTTATATATAGCGCTTTACAATCATTGTGGGCCTTTGTCTCTCACTCCACACAGAGATGGGAGCGGGGTGATCATACAGGAGATGCATGCCTGTTTATATATGTTTTAGTTAAACCTACGCAGACAGGGGGAGAACATGCAAACTCCACACAGAAAGACCTGAACCAGAACCTTCTTACTGTGAGGCACAAGCGCTAATAATAATAATAATAATAATAATAATGCATCGGTTTTATATAGCGCTTTTCTGGACACTCAAAGACGCTTCACATGTGTCATTATTCATTCACTCCATACACGGTGGTGATAAACTACTGCTGTAGCCACAGCTGCCCTGGGGCACACTGACAGAAGCGAGGCAACCAGTATGCGCCATCGGCCCCTCCGACCACCACCAACCATTCACACACACACCAGACTCATTCTAGGCAATGGGGGTGAAGTGTCTTGCCTAAGGACACAACGGCAGTTTGGCACTTTACAGCCGCAGCCGCCCCACTGTGGCTGGTGTTCCCAGAGGTTAAGTGTCTTGCCAAGGACACAACGATAGTAGTCAGTGGGAGTTGATGGTGAAGGTCTTGAGCGGGGCTTGAACCCACGACCTTCTGGCTCAAAGGCCAACGCTCTACCAACTGAGCTACTGCCGCCCTAACCACTGGGCCACCTTTTTTTTAAACGTACGGACCCTATTAATTAATAATAATATAATAATAATAATAATAATTCATAAAGATTACTTACTAACTTACGTTAAAAAAAAAATCAACCAAAGGGGAAAAGCACAGAGCAATATGGCAGGACTGAAACGCTCGCAATGTAGACCGGGTATGAGCAGTGGACTGGCACAGTGCTGATGTCACTACAGCGTTAGCCTTATTGCAGAAGTACCCAAATTGAGAAAGCTAGAGCTCCCCCTGCTAATGAGAGCCTCTGATTGGTCGATCCTTAAATGGTTTGTATCTGGATTTAAAAAGACAATATTTGATCACCAGGATTACAGAGAGCACTAAACCATGTTTTTTTAAGCACAAAAGGGTGAGTGTGACACAATCGAGCTACGTTACTGAGCTAGAGGAGTTTCACTTTAGAATGTAAATTAATAGGAGCCAGAGCGAGTTGGAGCAAAACTTTGTCCAAGAGCACTTCCCTAAACTTGTTTTATTTGTTTCTTCATTACAAATAGTGTAATTTAATTGTCTTATATATTTATTAGTTATATTTCTTTGATTTTCTAAGTGTATTGCAGTAATTTACTCTCTTTTGGCAGACTTGGAAGACGATCTGCTTTGATTTTCTACTGTATGACTCCAAATTCATATTTCTATGCAGCACAATGTAAACAGTTATGACATGTGCTCAATAAATAACCTGGATTGAGAGGGGGGAGAGGAGAGTCCAGTAGCAGCAGCAGTAACAGCAGCAGCAGCAGCAGCACCACCTATAGGGGGAGAGGAGGGGAGCTGAACCCACCTGATGAAGTCCCCGTTGGGGTCGGTGCGGCGGCCGAAGCCCACGGGGCAGTAGCAGTGGAAAAACTGCTGGAAAAAGGAACTGCAAGAAAGCCACATCCAACTCCCGGCGTTCACGCTCCAGTCGGCGTCCAAGAGCAACTCCTCAAACACCTACGAGAGCAGAGTGTACATTTATTGAGAGAGGAACACTTTATACAGACGGTTAAACAGACTTATTCAGGAACCAATGATTGTTTAACAGTTTAAATTCAGACTTTTAAAATGGTTTGAATGTCAAAAAGTGTGATGAGCTACAATGGGTGGGATCTGGCAAAAATGTGACGATTTGATAGTTTTGCAACTGTTGGGCCACAATTCAATATTATTGCGAATCTTAACATGTTGTGTGATACAGAGAGACCAGAGAAAGAGAGACCAGAGAGAGACCAGAGAGACCAGAGAGAGAGACCAGAGAGAGACAAGAGAGAGACCAGAGAGAGAGAGACCAAAGAGAGACCAAAGAAAGACAAGAGAGAGAGAAGAGAGATCAGAAAGAGACTAGAGAGACCAGAGCGAGAGACCAGAGCGAGAGAACAGAGAGCGAGACCAGAGAAGGACAAGAGAGAGAAACCAGAGAGAGAGGTCAGAGAGAGAGACTAGAGAAATACCAGAGAAATAGAATTATTACCTCATATTTGATCCTTTTTTGCAGTGCATTTATGGAAATGATTGACGCAAACAAAAATATCCAGCACAGGTCCTTCATACCTTCATGCCCTCCTCCCAGCTGATCCACAGGTCTCCGCGTGTGAGGAAGCAGGCCACGGCGTGTCTGGCCAGGTGATGGATCCAACCCTCCTGCCTCAGCTGAGTCATGATAGCGTCGATCCAAGGGAAACCTGTCTTGGCCTCCGCCCACTTCGCCAGCGCCTCCGGATTTCGGTCCCAGGGGATCCGCACGCAGATAGGGTTACCCTCCATCTTGTCGAAGCGTGGGTTGTTGGTGGCAGCGGTGTAGAAGAACTCACGCCAGAGGAGCTGCCCGTACAGAGATAAGGGAGGGGAGCTGTTTTTCTTCACCTGAAAACAAGAGATAAACCGACTCAATTCAACCATTTCGTTTTTAGTTCATACAGGCAGGCACAGACTAAACCATCTACAGCTTCATCCAACTATAACATGGCCACGCACCAAAGTGATATGTAAGTGCCATATGAACCAACCACAGGGGCTGGCCTCCTGCTGGGACTCTGAGGAGCACAGGGATTGGCCTCCTGCTGGTGCCCTGAGTCAGGACTAAACACGAGGAGGCTGGAATACTGTATACTTCTGAATACACCTGCTGTGATCCCATCTATTTACTTCAGCTTCAACCAACAATGATTCGGTTCAATATTCACCTGATCATGATGCATCTGATTCAAATGCTGAGTTTAAATGAATACATGGTATACATTGTTTTATTTTCTCAAATGGCATTATAAAACAAAACAAATAGATCAATTATCTGAAGATAATTGAAGATAAGACAAAACCAACTTCACTCAGCAATAGGCAACTGGAGAGGGCGCTTGTCCGAAAAACAAAGTTACTATAACATCAGTTAAAGTGAAATGTTAACAACACTTCATGAATATTGTGGTTAGCAATGTTTCTTGGTGTCAAATAGAGCTTAATGTGGTTAAATTCAGTGGTTCTATCAATGTATACAATTGTACCAAGTGTTTCTTTCTACATGAGACGTAACCAAGTTTTCCTTTGAATAGGGACAGCATAATGAAAAGAAAAGGAGATATATCACCCTTTTATTCGAAAGAGACAAATCAGGTGCAGATCATGATCATCATCTATATTGACCCCCCAAATAAACCTTTGCCACCCATATTTGAAAATCTCCGCCACTGGTCACAAGTTGAAGCTTTGGGATGAGAGCGGATAGGTTGGCAAGAGTGGTCCTCTCTTTTCCCTTTTCTGTCTAAAAAAGTTGACATAAAGCTAGAAATGTTGCAAAAGTGAAAACTAGAGATGGAACCAAACTGTTTTGAGAGTGAGTAACTAATTATATGGATTCTATTACATTTTCTTTGATTATTGTGAAATATATGTGTCACAAAGCGAGCAGACCTTGCGGTAGAGGTCGGTGAGTTTGTAGTAGAAGAGGCGACAGGAGAGGCACCCGAAGCGCAGGTATGAGCTGAGGCCGGTGGGACTGGCCAGCAGAGAGTTAGCGTTCATCCTGGGACGCTCAAAGTTAGCCACCCAAGCCTGGAACAAGAAGAGAGAGAGAGAGACAATATTATTAATACCGGCATCTCGTTAACTTCAAAATATCTGCACTTTGTCCCATAACCGGAAGCTGCCAACATGGACAGTCTCTTATACTTGCTTCTTTATTATGCTCAAGTTTGAGATTTTATACACTGCTAAAAGTGATGAAAAATTAGAGAAACAGTACTAAACATTGTCAAAATGTATCTTAATTTGAGCACATTCTGACTCAATTAAAACAAGACCCTCTGACCCTTTGAGCCAGAGGGTCGTGGGTTCGAGCCCGACCTTCACCATTGACTCCCACTGTCTGCTGTCGTTGTGTCCTTGGCAAGACACTTAACCTCTGGGAACACCAGCCACAGTGGGGCGGCTGCAGCTGTAAAGTGCCAAACTGCTGTTGTGTCCTTAGGCAAGACACTTCACCCCCATTGCCTAGAATGAGTCTGGTGTGTGAATGGTTGGTGGTGGTCGGAGGGGCCGATGGCGCATACTGGTTGCCTCGCTTCTGTCAGTGTGCCCCAGGGCAGCTGTGGCTACAGTAGTAGTTTATCATCACCGTGTTTGGAGTGAAAGAATAATTACATGTAAAGCGCTCTATAAAACCGATGCATTATTATTATTATTATTATTAATAGTAATAGTAAAATTAGCAAAATTATCTTGTGTTAAAAAGATACAAGAAATGTCTTCCTTGGAATGAGATAATAAAGCAACAGTTCTTGAAATAAGACTAAAAAATGGCTTTGTCCCATTTTAAGACAGAATGTACTCAAGTTAAGAGAAAAAAAAAACCCAATTCACAAAATTATTGCTTCATATTTTATCATTCAAAAACTGCTGTTACGATAAAATACAATAAAACATTAATTTGAATAGAATAAAAGTTGTTTCTGTCATGACAATCTTTTTTTCCAACATATATCTAACATACTAATGTGACTGAATAAAACTGACAGTGAAAGTAACGTGTATTTGCTGCAGCTGTAGCAGTGGTGCAGTACCGACCTTTCTCTCCAGATGGCGCTCTATCCTCGTCAAAGCTTCGGTCTCTCCTCCGGGCCACACGGCTGTAGGAAGGCCCTCAATGTCAAAACCTGAAGGCAAACAAACAGAGAAAGGAATAATAAAATAATACTGCGAGCTTTAACCATTTTTACAAAAGTTTTCTTTTTCATACACAAATATGACAAAAAAGTAAGAGAAAATCATGCATTATTTGGCTGTTTTGGCCCTAAAACAGGATCTTAAGAAAATCAACTTTAGCCAACAATGCGTTAAACTATTTTGTATTAAAAATAGCATGTTCCCACAACTAGAAGTAGAACATTAAGATATAATTTTGAAATAAGATAATAAGCTAAACCTTATTTCATCCCACAGTAGGGACATTTCTGTGTTGCAGCGCACATACAGGGCAGCAGTAAGAGCACACAAAATACGTATATAAAATTACATAAGATAGACTAGCTAAAGATTTAGATACAAATATATTCAGACAGCTTTTTCCACTGGCAACTGCAGAAACATACTTAGAATGAATTACTGTAATTGAAATCGATTAGTTGATAGATTAATTGTTTGGATCCTTGAGGGTTGGTAATTACTATCAAAAACAAATTATCTCCTCTTCTTAGGATGTTTTAGTCTGTAGAAGGTTCAAAAAACGATTCATCAATCATCATATTAAGTGATTCATATAAATTTAAATGCTCTTAACTCGATACAGCCAGAGTTCATTTACTGTTTTCTAATGCGACTCTACGTCTCCACACTGAATCTTGAGCCTAATTTTAACTCGAGTTCACAGAGAAACAGACAGCAAAGAGCTTAACCAGGCACCAGGCTGTCATGGTCCTAAAACAGGAGCTCTATGGCATATGTCGCAGCTGATCCATTCACACCGATCATTCCTCGACAAAGCACACAAGTCTGGTCTGTGCACCTGTGTCCTCACTATTCTTACACTATTCTCACACTAATTATTGCATATAATCCTGATCTATTCTCACCCTATTCTTGCTTCTATTCCTGGCCTGTTCTCTCCCTGCTCGGGCCCTTTTCTTGCATAATTCTATGTCCTATTCTTGCTTCTATTCTCTCCCTGTTCTTGTCCTATGCTTGCCCTAACTGCTGAGTGAGGGTAGTGATATGACAGAGGCCAAAAATACATTTTGATGCATCTTTTATAGGTAGTTCTTAACATTTTAAGAGAGATTGCTTGCCATATGACTCCATTTAAGCAATTTCTCCTCTATTTCAGTCCATAAGACTCCAAGTCCATAAGATTCCAATTCAATACTAAACTGATGAAATATGAGGCAGTCATTGCTTGAATTGAGTTGTTTTATCTTAATGTGTGTACATTCTGAGTGTGTTAAAACAAAATTTGCCAATGGGACAAAGGCTATTTAGTCTTATTTCAAGAAATGTTGCTTTATTTTCTCATTCCAAGGGACCCATTTTTTGCGTCTTTTTAAAACAAGATCATTTTGTTTGTCCCATTGGCAAATCTTGTTTAAAGTCAGTCAGAATTTGCTCAAATTAAGATAAATTCTGAAAAATTTGAGGAATTTTTTACTTCTTTTACATCACTTTAAAGAGACAATCCAATGTACAGCTGCACTCAGTATTTAACATGTGCTGAGACTTTTGTGAATGGACCAAATGTTCATGGAAACTAGCAGCAGGTGAAGGACTTTAATCCAATTGTGCCGATAAGGGACTAAATTAGACCTACACCTATTTAGAGCTTCAGACTCAGCGATTCTTCGCCACATCATGATCTGGTTTACTTCACAGTAAAAAATTCAATTCAATTAATTTTAGTACAGCATTAAATCACAACAACAGTTTTGCAAATGTGTCGATTCACCAGAGCTTTCTGAGCCTCAACACTGTGCTCTCAAATAAATAAAAAATACAAATATCTGGAGGACAACCCTGGCACAATGGCACATATCCTACACATAGGTGTGTTAGCTCACCCAGCTCCTCCAGAGACGGCACTCCGTACTTGTCCCCGTGGTCCTCAGAGACAGGAGTGACGCAGCGTCCCATCAGCAGCTCGGACAGCGCCTCCACAGGCTCCTGAGGCGGCTCCATGCGGCTGATCAGCGTCTGGAACCGTTTGTACGTCAGAGGAGGCTGCCCGCCGTTCAGCTCGATGATCCTGCCACAAGGAAGTCCATTTAATTAGATTCAATTCATTTTTGTACAGCGCGGTTGTGTACTTGTCCAGGTAAAGTTTGAGGTGTGTGTATATATATGTCGGTGTGTGTGTGTGTGGTTGTGTGTGCGTACTTGTCCAGGTCGAAGAGAGTGTGTGTGTGCGTGCGTGCGTGCGTACTTGTCCAGGTCGAGGAGAGTGTGTGTGTGTATGTGTTTGTGTGTTTGTGCGTACTTGTCCAGGTCGTAGAGAGTGTGTGAGATCTGTACGTTGACCTCCACTCCCGCCTCCATTGCGAGCTTCTTGATGGCTGCATCTCTCTCTTTCCCGAACGGCTCCGAGTCGTACTCAAAGGTCAGACGGTTGATTTTCCACTCCTTATGAATAAATAAATACAGAAATAAATCAAATCAAATGATACACACCAACACCCTGTCCCATTAGGATCAACCAGTACCAATCATTCCTCCCATAAACACAATTTGTTAGAGCCAAACTCAAATGTTATCTGTTATTATTCTTGCTTCTTCTATATCCCCACTGTGAGACCAATATATGATCTCTGCATCTTAATATTAAAACCAAAAAAGGTATCTGTATTACTGTATGTCAACCCGGGGGGAATAACAATTCTGTTCAGTATTGTGATATTTATTCAAAAGTTTGCTCTGGTCATTCACACCTGAGGTTTATGCGACTCTATGATGGCTGCTTGTTGTCACTCTATGATGGCTGCTTGTTGTCACTCTATGATGTCTGCTTGTTGTCACTCTATGATGTCTGCTTGTTGTCACTCTATGATGTCTGCTTGTAGTGACTCTATGATGTCTGCTTGTAGTGACTCTATGATGTCTGCTTGTAGTGACTCTATGATGTCTGCTTGTAGTGACTCTATGATGTCTGCTTGTAGTGACTCTATGATGTCTGCTTGTAGTGACTCTATGATGTCTGCTTGTAGTGACTCTATGATGTCTGCTTGTAGTGACTCTATGATGTCTGCTTGTAGTGACTCTATGATGTCTGCTTGTAGTGACTCTATGATGGCTGCTTGTTGTGACTCTATGATGGCTGCTTGTAGTGACTCTATGATGTCTGCTTGTAGTGACTCTGATGTCTGCTGCTTGTTGTGACTCTATGATGTCTGCTGGTTGTGACTATGATGTCTGCTGGTTGTGACTATGATGTCTGCTGGTTGTGACTCTATGATGTCTGCTGGTTGTGACTATATGATGTCTGCTTGTTGTGACTCTATGATGTCTGCTTGTAGTGACTCTATGATGTCTGCTTGTAGTGACTCTATGATGTCTGCTTGTTGTGACTCTATGATGTCCGCTTGTTGTGACTCTATGATGTCTGCTGGTTGTGACTCTATGATGTCTGCTTGTTGTGACTCTATGATGTCTGCTTGTTGTGACTCTATGATGTCTGCTTGTAGTGACTCTATGATGTCTGCTTGTAGTGACTCTATGATGTCTGCTTGTTGTGACTCTATGATGTCTGCTTGTTGTGACTCTATGATGTCTGCTTATTGTGACTACGATGTCTGCTGGTTGCGACTCTATGATGTCTGCTGGTTGTGACTATGATGTCTGCTGGTTGTGACTCTATGATGTCTGCTTATTGTGACTACGATGTCTGCTGGTTGCGACTCTATGATGTCTGCTGGTTGCGACTCTATGATGTCTGCTGGTTGCGACTCTATGATGTCTGCTGGTTGCGACTCTATGATGTCTGCTGGTTGCGACTCTATGATGTCTGATGGTTGCGACTCTATGATGTCTGCTGGTTGTGACTCTATGATGTCTGCTGGTTGCGACTCTATGATGTCTTGTCTGTAATAAGGTCCTGTGTCCTGAATGTTCAAGGATTACTTTTTGCGTTACCCTCCTAAATGTTTGCCTCAGTTCATGTGCAGACCATAGTAAATGTCACAGAGGAGTTGAGTCTTGGGTACCTCCAATCACAATACTGGCTGTATCGATATTGCATTGTGGCCCAAATATTGCAATACTATTGAATTCTCACATTTATGCCTATTCTCACTCCTAAAGAGCCCAATGAGTCACTATTCAACTCTTTGGGCTGAGAACGGATTGGCTGAGTGTGGTTCGCTCAGAAAAAGCTGATTAAAAGATGTAATAATTAAAAAGAAGTGATAGAACCTAACCGTTTGAAAGCTGGATTTAGTTAAAAGATGTTTCTGGTTTTAAAGGTAAGGAACTCAAGCTTTAAGTTCTTGGCAAAGACTTGGTTTAGTCCAGGATTGGGATTTTTCCAATATTCTATCAGTTTATTTTGTTTTGTTTTTTACCTTGAAAAGCCTCGGGAACACATTGGCCGGTTGACCTCTGATGACGAACAGGCGTGAGTTCAGCTTCCTCAGGCTGGAATCCAGGTCTTCCAGACACTGTAGCAGAAACCTAAAAAGAAAAACGGCAAATTCAATGTTTTTATGATGTTTTTACACAATTTTTACTGACAGAATAGTGCCCAGTTCCATTGATAAATTACTGTGACACATAAAGTGCTCTTCTGCAAGAAGTGAGAATGGAAGAACACATTGGAATGGAGCGACCTTAACTAAAAATTACAGAGAGAGAGACAGTCTTTCACCAGGAAGAAAAAACAGATGGAGACCAGAGAGAGAGACCAGAGGGACCAGAGAGAGACCAGAGAGAGCGAACCGAGAGATGGACCAGAGAGAGACCAGACAGAGGGACCAGAGAGAGAGAGTCCAGACAGAGAGAGAGAGAGGGACCAGAGAGAGAGACCAGAGAGAGAGAGAGAGAGAGGGACCAGAGAGAGGGACCAGAGAGAGAGGTCAAGGTCAAGTTTATTTATGGTGGAAATGGTGACTTTTTGCTCTCAGGTTTAGAGGTTAAATCCAGTGTTTTGGTGCTGGTCAGGTACTTTATTGAGGCTTAGATCCCACTCACTAAACGCTTTTCTTAATTATTACGTTTTGATGTAAATGGATTTTAGACATTGAGAGAGAGACCAGCGAGAGAGACCAGAGAGAGACCACAAAGAGAGACCAGAGTGAGAGACCAGAGTGAGACCAGAGAGATAGAGAGACTCCCATTAACTAATCCTTTTGAGTGTAAAATTGTGTTACAATATGGCCCCACAACCTCAGAAGGAGAGACCAGAGACCAGAGAGATGGACCAGAGAGAGCGAGAGACCCAAGAGAGACTAGAGAGAGTGATCATTATTTGCATAGACCAAAAACAATGCCAAATGTATTCTTTAAAGTTTTTCAGCAAATACTAAACAGAAGGTTGGTCTTGTCACCGTCACTGGTTGAGAGTGAAATTCTCAAGAAAAACCATTGAAACGTTTACAATGAGAAGTGGAGAAAACCGAAGAAGTCTCAGCTACTTCATACCACTGACCCCAAAACATGATATAACCAGATACAATCCAGCGAGGGTTACTAAAACTATCACAACAACAAAAAGGAGAGAAACCAGAGCAGAGTAGATAATGACTGACCAGGCCACAGGGAGACTCTTAACAGACCTCCAAAGAGATGGTCCTGATTAAAACCTTTACTTTTGACCTACTTTTACACCAACACCAGCAAAGATGAACCATTTCTCATAACTCAAGACGGGAATTTCTGAGTGGAGTTTGTATGTCCCCGAGCCTGAGTATATTTCCTCTGGGTGCTCCGGTTTTCCCCTACCACTAAAAACATGTACTTTATCTCCTCTCTCTCTGGGGCCAGGACTACCTTGAAAAAGGGATTCTGAAAGATTTGGAGCCAGAGCATGCTGGAGCAAAATTGTGTCTGTGAGCACTTCCCTTCCCCACTTTCGTTGAGCTTGCTGGTTAGCATTGTCCATTTCAGCAATTCTCTAACACAACCTACAACTACTGCAGCGCCTAAACCACCAGGTGTTGTCCGTGTCAATGCTGGATTTTCTCATTCAGGAACAAGAGTCAATCACCCATATGACCCAGTGTCAGAAGCCAGAAAACCAGCAAACAAGATTGTAAACTTTTTTTCAACTTTATTTGACCTGTCTATATCATGTATAGACTGAGTATAGATGGACAATGCTAGCTCATTGACGCCCAATTGGGAAGTGCCTTCTAATCTCTTCATAGAGATTTTGTCATTTTTCAATCTAATCTCCCAGATTTCCTAAATATTTCCGAAGCCTGTGAAGTGCTTCTAGTGTGATTTATGGCTTGACAAAGTAACTTCTTGCGAAATACAGACTTCACCATAACATTTCTGAACTGGTATGAGTCAACGTGAGAACACACCTAAAACGTTTTAACCGAACCCTCATTCATTCATTTTCAAACCCGTTGATTAGTCCAGTTCTGGGTCGGGGGGGTGGCAATGAGAGCTGCCAATGCTGATAGCACCAGTCCCTTGCTGATCCGCTGCACGTGGTGAGTCCACAGGAAGATGGCTGCTCCGTCAGTTATGACACAGCCTTGGTCTTTCAGCAAAGGCTTCAGGCAACGTGGGGTTAAGTGTCTTGCCCAAGGACACAACGACAGCTGACATGAGTGGGAGCAGTTGGAGTAAGTCTTGTGGGGGGATCAAACCCATGACCTTCAGGCCCAAAGAGCAATGCTAACCAAACCAAATGCTTAAATGAAAGCTTAGCCTAACCTCCCACAATTTAATTTCAGTTTAATCTATAGCTTATATGAACTTGAACCCGGTTCCAGTAAATGGAATACAGGCCATTATCACATTTTGTGCACATTTTTTTGGGTTTGTTCTGACCCTGATTGTTAGTGGAACAGTGCTAACCCCGTCCCGCTGCTGTCTGTCAGCTCTAAATCCGTGCATGCTCCCAATCCTCATACACAGAAACCAAAGCGCGGCTTCAATCTCCTGCACGTGCTGCTGTCGTCCTGTTAACTGACCTCTGCTGCTCACACAGAGGGGAGGAGGAGGAGAGGGACTTTTTCCGCAGTGAATGGGATAAACCAAGGGTAGATCAGGTCGAGATGTCTGGGCAAGATTCCGCCTCCAGGCGCTCCAGTTTCCCCCAGCACCCAAAAAAAGCACCACGAGTATTGTTTTTTTTAGTGCATTTTTTGGGCACTCTAAGACACTTCAAATATCATTATTCATTCACTCCATACACAGTAATAAACAATTACTGTAGCCACAGCTGCAGTAGTGCCTACACGTCTGCATTTAGTGCATTTCAGAGCCGTGTGCCTGGTCCTGCAGGGACACAGGGTCTGCACTCAAAGACTCCTCTCAGACTAGGCTAAGACATATATGCAAAATTACGGATTAATACAAGCCTTCATTTGGTAAGATAAGATATACTTTATTGATCTTTACTCCGATTAATTGAAGTAAGAAAGGGACAGGTATGAGCTGTGATGGGTCAGGGGGAAGCATAGATCAGTGGATCGAGCCAGTATTTACACGTGTTATCCGAGTGCCAACATCTCTGTGATTGTTTCCCTTGTGAATACAGTATTTGCTTTAAGCGTGTGTGGACTCGGTGTGTTGACTTCCTGGAGTCTTTAAGCCTGATGTTGCAGCGTCATGTTTGGGTCTTAAATTACTGTGCTGGCCTACATCTGTGCCCATAGTCCGTTAGCCTCGTAACCTCCTTTCAGGTCCACACAAACACACACAGATTTCCTTTCTCATTTCTCTCTGCAGAAAGGTGAAAAAACCAATGCATTTTTCACCTCCCTGCGGAAGTTCTGGATCTACAGCCTCAGTCCTGGATCTACAGCCTCAGTCCTGGATCTTTTTGCACCAAAAATGAAACTATGAAACTTGCAAACTTCCACTTTACGCATTTTTGAAATAATCCACAACAATTTATTGATATCTGTGGGTTTACACGCTTTAGGGAACAATTGATTGGAATTTTACAAAGTAGGTCACGAGTCCGCCTCTCCTGGTTTCTGGCGTTTGGAGGCTGCTCCAGTTGGGAGTTTGCTGAGTGGGTGCGTGGGCCACTAGAGCTCGTGACTGCAGCCTCCTCTGAGTCACTGTGTTGGTCTGACGTAGTTTTGGAATATTGTGAGCAATGGACCATAATGTTGCAACAGTACTGTGTGTGAGGTTTAGGCATAAGGCAACACACATCCTGGATTATGGGAGAATAAACTGGCAATAATTTAAATGGCACACTCCATCCTGCTGTACAAGTCACAGCTCTTGTCCTTGTATATATTGTATATATTAACAGATGTGTACTATCCTATTTTCTCTGTATTTTATACTGTAAATGTGTACATATTCACAGATATGTATTTTCCTGAGTACTTCTATCCAGATTATTCTATTCTCACAAATTGTGAGCATAGATTTTTCAATTCTCACAAATTGTGAGCATAGATTTTTCAATTCTCACAAATTGTGAGTAACTTTAACGTTATTTTTTTATTTTTTTATTGTGAAATACTATGCAAGCTACTGTGACAACGCAATTTCCGCTATTTCCCTTGTGGATCACAAAAGCCTTTCTAAGTCTAAGTCTATTCTGTTTTTCAATTGACTATAACAATTACATATTTCACATGAAAAAGTAAATTCATGTTAAGTACAAATCTGGGGTCCTTTCCCCTTGCATTGCAGGCTCGAATTATTAATCAATCATTAAAATACAAATCAAAATGATCAAATATGAGGTAATAATTTCTTGATTCAAGTAGTTTATCTTATCTTAATTAAAGATAAGAGTAAATTCTGACTGTGTTAAAACAAGATTTTCTAACAAAGCCATTTGGTCTCAAAAACTCTCGTTTTATTTTCTCATTCCAAGGGAAACATTTCTAGTATAATTTTGCTTTGTCCCTTTGGCAAATCTTGTTTTAAGGTCAGGCCATTTTTGCCAAATTTCAGATTTTTTAAACACATTTTTCGTCACGTTTTGCAGTGTACAGAGCCAAGCGGGGAGGCCTCCTCATAAATAGGTCATCATCACATAACTTTTCCGGCACACTAACCCACATGTTCACCATGCGCCAATTTGTGCGTTTCTTCAGACTTGGGAGGGCAGGAGAATTGATTTTCTACACACTAATAAGCACTGTTTTTCACTGCAGCTAAATGCACAAGAGTGGTTCCATTTGCCGTTTTTTCACCCTGGTTTGGTAATCGCCTAATCTTCCAGGTCAGACAGGCCTCGATACAAACGCCAGAGAAAAAAATGTGAGCCCAAAATGCAGTGGTTTAGTAGTGACGAGGAGGTCATGTTGGATTCTCTCAATGGCCAGATTTAAATTACAATTTTTTTTTTTTACATAAAACAATAATTATTAATATGTCTATCTACTGTATATAACATTTTAACATATTTAACCTGGATACTACATGGACCCTGAGCCACAGTTTGCCACAGCATAATCCACTGACAACATCAAAATCCTCAGGTTTTTGGACTTTTGCATTAATCACAAGAGACCAGAGAGCAGACTGAGAGAGACCAGAGAGAGAGAAACCAGGGAGAGACCAAAGAGACACCAGAGAGAGACACCAGAGATAGACCTGAGAGAGAGACCAGAGACAGAGACCAGAGAGAGATCTGAGAGAGACCAGAGACCAGGGACAGAGACCAGAAACAGAGGGGCCATCATGTGCATTGATGAACTTGAGAGTCAGGGAAAACAGGGAGAGAAAGAAGAAACAGTACACAGCAGGGCAAGCAAAAGATAAGTGAACAAAAACTCTATACTAAAATAAAATCTCTAACTTTAGAATAATTAAGAAGCAAGTATAAAATATTTTTTCTGACTTTCTGTATGATTTATTTGTCAGCTGATTCAATGTCAGAATGTGATTATCGAAAGCCTGACCAACATCAGAATCAGTGCCACAAGTCATCAGTCTGGACTGTGGCGTCACAGGTACAGTACAGTAGTCCGCTGTAATGTATGTTTTTTTTTTGTGTGTGACTCGTAATAAAGTTTAATAATAAAAAAAAAAAAACAAGTCTATAATCCTCAACTTTAGTCTAATTAAGAAACAATAATGAAGTATTGTATCTCTAACTATAGCATAAGCAAGTAATAAATACTGAATCTTCTAGAGCCAAAAATGTATAATTGTATATTTCCATCTGTACATGTCAGCAGCATGAGGGTTAGCAGCAACACACACGCATTCACAGGTAAAACACAAATTCATAACAACTAGATAAAAAAAGAGTTATGCAGCCTTTTAAAAACAATACTTTTCTAACATGACTCAGCTATAGGTCACTGACTTCTGCAGACTGGAGAGGCCATTCCTGTCACACATATAGCAACAAACCAAAGCTTCCAGCAGAGGATCATGGGGCGATATTGAGTTTTTTTACCACCTGCCGAGACTACACACAACCTACAAGTGTCCTCACGTGCGGCTACAACCAGCTCTCTCCGTGCAGTTGGCTTGATAGATCTATTTCAAATTTATTCCCCATCTGAACTCGCCTGGAGACTTCCTGCTGCCTTAGATAACCAACTAAAAAACTGACCTGATATAAGGGCGTTATGTGAGCAGGGCAAGGGAACCACGTGAGGAGAAACTAGTTCACTTCTCTCTCAATTCAATTCAATTCCATTTAATCTTGTACAGCCCTAAATCACAACAGTAGTTATCTCGGAAACTGCTGAATTCGCCAACACAAATTTGAGGATAAAACCGTTCAAACACAAGAAATGGAATGATAAAAAACACAGAGCCATTGGTCCATAAGAGGCAGATGACCAATATCCATAAATGTTGTTGAGTGTCCTGGATCATCACCTCTGCCCTTAAACCGCCCTGCATTGTGCCCTAAACACCGGATTATTTGTCAATTAAATTTGGGGTACCAAACTTTTTGGTTTGATGAAAACATGGTGTTCAATTTTGTGACTATATGACACCCCAACATTTCCATCAAAGGTCAAAGCAGTGGGAGTCGACCATAAAAACAATTATACTGACCAGTAAATATAATAAAAAAGGTGAAGTATGTGTTTTGATGGAGAATCATCATTTACATTAGAGACCAGAGGGAAAGACCAGAGAGAGACCAGAGACCAGAGAGAAAGACTAGAGAGAGAGAGACCAGAGACCAGAGAGAGACCAGAGGGAGACCAGAGAGAGCAACCAGAGAGAGACCAGAGAGAAAAACCAGAGAGAGAGACCAGAGAGAGAGACCAGAGAGAGACCAGAGAGAGAAACCAGAGAGAGAGACCAGAGAGAGAGACCAGAGAGAGATCAGAGAGAGACCAGAGAGAGACCAGAGAGAAAGACCAGAGAGACCTGAGTGGTTCATTATTTTTTGCTATCTTGAAAGAGTTGGTATTGCCCTCGATCCCACATCCTTGTGGGTAGCCCCATTCATTTAACGAGTGCCTTCTAAAGTCCAGCATTGACACGCATCTGGAACGTACCTTTGGGCCTGTAAAGCTGTTTTTGAGAGGTAAGAAGACGCCATACAAAGGCATTGAATAATTCTCTTTCTGGGTCCACCCCCACTGGCTATGAGTGGTATTGCACTGGTGGAGCTCAGCGAAACGCCTCAGGTGGAGCATGGCGGAACTACAAGAATAAAATCTCTATCATTAGCGTAAAAAGGAGTTACCTGTAGTCTTTTTTCACAGGTTATTGTGACAGAATCAAACCCAATCTGGGAAATAAATAAATCCTTTGTCAGCCAAAGGAAAAGGCCAAAGTGACTCCAACGTGTGAGAATCGACAAAAATACTTTTTCTTGAATGGCACACTAGGGTGGAGAGAGCAGTAAGGGGCCTCATGACCTCGAGGCAGAGAAGTGGCCATTAGCATGTTCCAAACATAGTCTCCAAAGGCTATTTTCTTTCAGAGATAAAATGGGAGAAAAGGTGTGACCAGGTATATTATTACACAGCGTTGAATGCATCACAACATCAGGTCAAAAGAAAGAATACAGAGATCCAGGAGGGTCTAAGGACAGTGGACATGCATCAACATTATGGACCAATGGCTCTATGTGCTTGTATCATTGCATCAACAGTTTTGTATAGTCCTCTAAAAAAAACTGCTGTTGTTAGAGCTTAAGTTATTTTTTAGACTGTGCAGAAATTAGGGCTGAAACAACTAATCGATTAATCGACGACTAATCGATTATTGAAATAGTTGACAACTATTTTAGTAATCGATTAATCGTTTTCTGGTTCACACGGACTCAAACAGAGCAAAAATGACATGATACGGCATAATTTGGTGTGTGAATTTCAATAGATCTAGCAGGTTCTTGCATAAAATAGTCAAGATTGTTACTTATTTATATATTATAATCTAGTATATATATTTGTAGTATAGTTGTGAGACAAATGCTGTAACATACATCATTTATGTATGTTACAGTAAAGACCATTTACAGTTAAAGCAAATAAAGAAAAACATATTTAAAATATTTAAAAAACTCACAAATGTTGAAATCAAAGCCTGGAGCAGTTAGACATGGTCATTATTTATAGTGTCTGAGAGTTTTGTGCAGGTACATGACTTCAGTAAAAGCAATTGTTCGTTTACAAAGCTGGTCTTGCCATTTGTTGACGCTCCCTAAGCGCTTTTCTTTGCGCTTGCAGTGAACTGGATGATTCAATGGATTTATGTTCATTAAAACAGCACATTGGATTTGAACAATTAATGTAAATGGTCATTTTGGCACAATTAATTTTGTTTAACAAAGTAGCTTTCGTGAGCTATTGACCGCAGAGGTCCGAATCTGACGCTAACTTTCCCAAACTTCTGATGTGATGATGCTGCGGACACGGCACACGCTGGCGCTTCGAGCCTACGCCCCTTTGACACGGATTGGCCAAAAGGTAGACGCTCGTAATAATACGAGGTGCGCTATGTCCGCGCACTAACACCCAAAGACTTCACTCCCGCTCACTTCCGTCAATAGAAGCAGTATGACTTGTTGGAGTTAGTGCGCGGACATAGCGCTCCTCGTATTATTACGCCTCACAATATAGTACCCCTTTTTATCCGCTGAGAAAATCGACATGTTACATTTCTGTGTTAAATAGGGAACACGTGGAAGAGTTTGGTAGCTTCTAATGGGAGCTGATTTGCTACTATACAGAATGTGGAAGAGGCTGCGTTTGTGCTCCGTTTGCATGACAGAGCACACGGACAAAGACCAGATAGGTACATATCAACTAGTCTGAATGTGCTCAAATTAAGGAACATTTTGGGCAAATATTGACTTATTTTTCATCACTTTTTTTCAGTGTAAGCATCTCTTTCAACATGTAGTCCGATTGGACGATGATCTTACCTCCACCGGTTGACGCCAACGTTGGAGGAGCCGGCGAACCACGGATCCAGGAAGTAGACGCAGCGCACAGTCCCTGCCCCTTGGACTGCCTCCCGCAACGCAGGGTTGTCATGGAGACGCAGACCCTTCCTGAACCAGTGGATGGAGTTCGGAGCCATAGTTTACTGTTAAAAAGAAATACAACGTTGTATAAGACATTTTTGACAGTGGAATTAAGAACATTTAAATTATTACTTTCGAGAGAACATGTGTTTTCAATTCAAGTCAATGTATTCTTGTATAACCCTAAATTACAACAGGACTTTACAAAGTTGTCAATCACCAACACAGATCAGAGAATCAAACAGTTCAAACACGGAAAATGCAGTGATTTAAAAAAAAAAAAAAACAGCTCTTGGTCCATAAGGGGCAGAAGAGCAATGTCTATAAATGTCCTGAATCATCAGCACTCAGGGCCTCCTGCATCTCTAAAATCCAGTGGGAGAAAAAGACACCTTGCCAAGGCCCGCATTGAGAAAGGCATCCGCTCCCACTGATCTACGGGCTGTAGATCCAGGACAGAGGCTGTAGATCCAGGACAGAGGCTGTAGATCCAGGACAGAGGCTGTAGATCCAGGACAGAGGCTGTAGATCCAGGACGGAGGCTGTAGATCCAGGACGGAGGCTGTAGATCCAGGACGGAGGCTGTAGATCCAGGACAGAGGCTGTAGATCCAGGACGGAGGCTGTAGATCCAGGACGGAGGCTGTAGATCCAGGACGGAGGCTGTAGAATTCAAATTTAGTGCCTGAGCCTGGTTTTAAAATGTCTACATGACGAGTGGTTAGCACTCTTGCTTCGCAGCACAAAGGTCCTGGGTTCAAATGCCGGTCGGAACATGGCCTCTCTGAGTTTGCATGCTCTCCCTGTGTCTGCTCAGTTTTCCTCCGGGTGCTCCGGTTACCCCTACTACGTGCAAAACAGGTCTGAATATAATGAGTGAGTTAAGAGATGGTGTTTGGTCGGAGGTTTTTGAACACCAGTATGTTTGCTGTCTTGTCATTGTGTAGAGAGAATGAAAAAATATCCAAACTCTGACATTTGTAAAGCGCTTTGGGTGACCTCGGTCTGTAAAAATGCACTATATAAATACACATAATTTACTATTATTGTTGGTACTTAATGCACGTGTGCATAGCAGTAGTTTTAATACATGCCTTTACCTTTTTTCTTGCTTTCCTTCTTCCTGTTATTACAATGGCAATAAAAACAATTCTGATTCTGATTAGTAAACGCATCGGAAAAAGTAACATTTATATGATTAGTGCAGCTTTATACTGAAATATTTGGGCATTTTTCTGGTGGTTATAAATGATCCACAGCGAGATAAAATGTAACAAAGCCTCACACCCAACGCCTCATCAGGAGCCAAGAGTGGGCTGCACCGAGAATAGACCAAATCACAGCCAAGACATAAATATAGCAAATATAGCACATGCTTCAAAGGCTCAAGATTTGATTTGAAAGAGAAATAAAATGTGTGTTCAACAATGTGAGAACATTTTTTGAATGATGTGTATTTTGATCGTGGCAATAACAAAATTACAACCATGTTTATTGCATAATATGGTGACAATTTTACTTATGTACTTATGTTAGTGCCATATGAACCAACTCTGACTCTGAGGAGCACAGGGACTGGCCTCCTGCTGGTGCCCAGGCAGCATTTCATATTGATGCACCAAAAATCTTGGACAGTTTTCCTGAAAATGTGAGACAGCTACAATGTTCAAATCCAGGCTGTACATACAACTGTAGGTCTGTACCTTCACTCAATTTAATGTACTACTAGTAAATTTCCTTTTTTTTTTTTCAGCTGGTCGGCAGTATTTTATTTGTTATATTTGACAGCTTAACTCCACAAACATCAACTACATAAAGCAAAACAGCAAGAGGCAGATGGAACTATCAGGGGTCCATTCGATCCGACAACGCTTCCATATTCAAGTCAAACAAAAGAGAAATCTAGCCATCTCTGTAAATAGCCAGTGATGGAAACTAGGGCATGATTATTGATGAAGACTCGGAGTCCTGGGCCACCTGCCGGTCCTGTTCAGCCCGACCTGGACCGACATGTGGTGTGGAGCAGGTGGTGGCGGTGATACAGGGACGACGTGTGAGACCAAGGAGAGAGAGTGACCGCTATCACCACCAACAGATGGCCGGGACACCAGCAAAGGAGAGCCGCGCTGATGGGAGAGGTGATAGCCCCAGGTGACCTATTTGGGAGCAAAATCCAGGGGACCTCAATGGGTGGTGCGCAAACTAGGGTAAGATTTCAAGATTCAATAGATTTTAAGGTTTGTTGATTTTATACAACGCTTTCCTGGACACTCAAAGGCGCTTCACGTGTAGTTATTCTTTCACTCCAAACACGCTGGTGATAAACTACTAGTGTAGCCACAGCTGCCCTGGGGCACACTGACAGAAGCGAGGCAACCGGTCAGTGCCATCGACCCGTCCAACCACCACCAACCATTCACACTCACACCTTAGGACACAACCACAGTTTGGTACCCACTGTGGCACCTGATCATCCTAAAGGTCTCCCATCGCAGTAGGCTACGCCCAGCGCAGCTTCAATCCAACAAACCTGATTTTGATGAAGAATATTTGACATGAATGAAATGCCGTGTGTAGGTTGTTTTGTCGACATCTGGTGGCTGCAAGTGCACACTGCAGCTCTGAGTCTCCAATCTGCATCTGTGGAACTATTATCTTGCCACCCTCTTCAAAGCTACTCATAAGGACAACTTTATGAGTAAATATAAAACCCCTTGGAAATGGGTCAACTTTCTCCATGTGGCTTTGTCTTTTTTTCCTGTATTTTCTGTTTTTTTTTTTTTGGGTACAACAGTGTGTGTGTGTCCAACCCCTTTTAAAAAGAAAACTATATTTTTCAAATTGAACATCTGTATATTGTTAGGTTTGTTATGTTGCACAAAAGATATTTGGCTAGCCCTAAATCACAAAAGTAGTCTTCTCGGAGGACTTTATCAAGTTGTCAATTTACAGATTAGTTCGAACACAGAACTGTAATAATAATGTTCAAAAATGTTAATAAAAGACCTGTATCACCAATGGCCTTATAATAATAATAATAATAATAATCTTTATTTGTATAGCACTTTTAAAAACAATGTTTACAAAGCGCTGCACAGTCAGCATGATAAACAATAAAAACAGTCAAAATACAAGGTCAAAATAATTAGATACAGAAACACAAAGCAAACAGAGCAAAACACAAAAGAGACACAACAAAGACAAAGCAGACATTAAAATACAGCATGTGAAGTTTAAAACTAACAGTTAAAAGCTGTTTGATAAAAGTGGGTTTTAAGAAGTGTTTTAAAAGAGGATACTGATGGTGCTAGCCTTATCTCCTCGGGCAGGTCGTTCCAAAGCCGAGGAGCCCGGACAGAGAAGGCTCGGTCACCTTTCGTCCGGAGCCTCGACCTTGGAACAGTCAACAGGGACCTGCCCGAGGATCTAAGGCTGCGGGGGGGCTCGTAGGGGGTTAAAAGTTCATAAATATACTGTAGCTGGGTGCCAGACCTAAACGAGCTTTAAAAGTAATCAGTAAAATCTTAAAATCAATTCTAAAGAATTGCAGGAGGCCTTAGACCCTCCTGCAAACATCTGCAAGGAACGACTCAATATCCCAATGGGAAGAAAGGCGTGTAGACAATAGACGTCACGTCACGCCATTGTCAAGATGGCGCCGTGCCAGGGCGCCGCTGCAAGAGCTCCGTTGTGCACCGTGATTTTTATGCTGTTTTTATATTTTCACAAAACACTTGCCACTGTGGTCTACGATCGACAGACTCTTATGGACATACGGGACTTGGCCTGTGAGCCAGTGTTGCCTGCTCTGAGGTGTGATGGCTTTGACGAGTGCCCAGCTCGAGGAGAGCGGCGTGCGGACCGCGACAGAGACGGGGAACAGGGCGATGAGGCCGGGCACCTCCCCCGTGTTCACCACCGTGCGGAGCCGGGTGTCTCTCGCCGACGGAGGAAGCGCAGACACCGGGGAAAGCGTGGCGGGCTTCTCGTGCGGAGTCGCGCCCCCAGGGTCCCACTGCCACCCATTTACCTTGCGAACGTTCAGTCTCTCCCGAACAAGTCGGATGATCTCCTGAGCCGAATCCAGTACCAGCGCGAGGCTCGGGACTGCGCAGTGTACTGCCTCAGCGAGACGTGGCTGCATCCGAATATCCCGGACTCAGCTGTTCAGCCGCCGGGATTCGCCATTTTCCGCTCGGACAGAGAGAAGGAGAGCACAGGAAAATCGAAAGGCGGAGGTGTGTGTCTTTTAATTAACCAGCGCTGGTGCATGGACAGTTGTATTGTAAACAAAACATGCTCTGCTAACCTGGAGTGTCTGGTTTTGAGATGCCGCCCGTTCTATCTTCCCCGAGAATTCTCAGTGATTTTCTTATGTGCTGTATATATTCATCCTCGGGCTGACTGTACAGCTGCACTGAATGACTTAAGTGACATTTTGCATAAACATGAAGCTGCTCACCCCAATGCTGTGATTATAGTTGGTGGTGATTTTAACAAATGTAACTTAAAGTCTGTATTACCGAACTTTTATCAGCATGTGAGTCAGCCTACCAGGGGAGCTCACATCCTGGATCACTGCTATAGTAACGTAAAGGCAGCTTACAGGTCCAGTCTCAGACCTGCTTTTGGGAAGTCTGACCACTCCGCTGTTCTCCTTCTTCCTTCTTATACACAGAGGAACAAACAGCACAAACCTACTTCCCGCACTGTGCAGTGCTGGTCTGAGGAGGCTAACATGAAGCTGCAGGGCTGCTTTGATGCCACAGACTGGTCTGTTTTTAACTCTGAGAATGTTGATGAATTCTGTGAGGCTGTGACAGGATACATACAATTTTGCATTGACTGTTGTGTCCCCTATAAAGTAATCAAAGAACACTCCGGCCAAAAACCTTGGATGAACACTGACGTAAAATTGAGAATTAATGAGCGGACACTGGCGTTTCAATCCGGTGATGAGGGTGCTTACAAGCTGTCCTGCTACGCTGTGGAACGCTCTATAAAAGCTGCTAAGCGTTCCTATGGGGACAGGTTAGAGGGCTTCTTTGGGGAAGAGGACCCTCGACGCATGTGGAAGGGGATCAGTCTTATCACGTCCTGGAAACCAAGTGCAGGGAAAATTGCTGCTGGCCAAACTCTGCCAAATGAGCTCAACGACTTTTACTGCCGCTGAATCTGCTGATCCCCTGCCTTTTGTCTTCCCCGAATGTCAGGGTGCCTTCACAGTGACTCAGGATGAAGTACGGCGGGTCTTGTCCAGGACCACAGCTCGGAAAGCCGCAGGCCCGGACTGCATTCCTCCTCGTGTCCTGAAACTGTGCTCCGAGCAACTTGCCCCTGTTTTAACGGACATCTTTAACTTGTCACTCAGGAGCTGTACGGTGCCGGTGAGCTTTAAAAGGTCCACCATTATTCCAGTTCCTAAGAAGTCTCCAGTGACATGTCTCAATGACTACCGCCCTGTGGCCCTCACGTCTGTTCTTATGAAGACTTTTGAGCGGCTCGTGCTGGACTTCATTAAGAGCCAGATCCCTGTGAGTGTTGACCCGCTCCAGTTTGCTTACAGACAGAACAGGAGTGTGGAGGGTGCCATCTCCTTTGCTCTGAACTCTGTCTACACTCATTTGGACACTAGTAAATCTGTCGCGAGAATGCTTTTCATTGATTATAGCTCTGCTTTTAATTGTCTTGTCCCAAGCATATTGGTTGAAAAACTTATGTCCCTTGGTCTGAATGTTGCCATGTGTAAATGGATTTTTAGCTTTTTAACTGACAGATCTCAGAGAGTAAAAATCAATGACTGTCTTTCTGATGTTGTTTCTGTGAGCACTGGTTCTCCTCAGGGATGTATTTTGAGTCCTTTGCTTTTTACTTTGTACACTCACGATTGTGTGTCCTCCTCTGACTCTAACTTGATCATCAAATATGCTGATGACACCACCATCATCGGTCTCATCAGTGACAATGATGAATCCTCTTATAGAGCAGAGATCGAACATGTTTTTCAGTGGAGTAAAGTAAACAATCTCCAGCTGAACACTGCAAAAACATGTGAACTTGTCTTTGACTTCAGTCATAGCAGTTCTCACACTCCTGTAGTTATCGACAACTCCCAGGTGCAGATCGTAATAATACTGCATTATTATTCTTTGTGAAACAATTGTTTCCTTTAGTTTATAAAGTGTTCAGAATGTTTTATTGTATACAAGTTGAATATATGGGGGTGTACATAAGAGAAGCCTTTATTGTCTGTAGGCATTGCGTGTACACATTACTTCATTTGTTTACAATCCTTTAACATTAAACATACAGTGCACTTGAAAATGTGTCTTTCATACCTTGCTTGTCTAGTGGCAGTCGGCCGTTTGGCAGTTTTTTTTTTTTTTAAGACAACGAGAGTGACAAGAGTAAAGTGGACTGTACGTTGTGTACAAGGCGGGTCCAAAACAAACACGTATAACACCAGCTACTTGATCAAACTCACCACCACACAGAGAAACCTTTGCTAGTACAGGAGCTAGCAAAGGTTATTGTCATATTCCAATACCATTTGTAGTGGAATAGGACAGTGGCTAATATTGTTAACTGTTAGAACAAATGCTAAAATGTCTAAATATTAAAGTAGTTTCTTATTGTTGAAATGAAAAATAAAACATTTTAAATTTCAGTTGAATTAGTTTTATGAAATCTCAGGGATAACACAATATCATTAATGTATTCGGTTGCGGCAAGTGCTCAAATTAAGGTACTCGTACTTGTATCGGTTTTGAAGAAAGTGGTTTCGCTGCATCCCTAAAATAATAATTTAACTTTTGTCTGAGTCTACTCTGGTCATTTACATCAAAGGTTTATGTTCCTCTATGATATCTGCTTTTTGTGACTCTAGTCTATTGTGTTAGAATAATTAAGTAAGCAATCTTTATTTATATAGCGCATTTTACAGACCAAGCACTGTACAGAGTTCAGATATTTATCCATTCTCTCCGCACAGTGTTGACGGAAGCATCAAAGCCTTCCACCAAACACCATACATTACATTTACCTATTGCACTTGTGTTTAGTGGTAGGAGACACTGGAGCACCCGGAGGAAACCTACGTAGACACAAGGGGAACATGCAAACTCCATTCAAAACATCATTCAAACATCAAA